CAAATAACTAATTTAATTTTTTTTAATTTTCATGTTTCCTTTCTATCACGTCTCTCCTCTCATCCTATCCTGTTCTTCTCTCGATATCATTTCTTTAAACTTGCATAATTTTTAAGTGTTTCACTTATTAAATTTAATTTTTGTTTTTCCAATTTACTTGTTTATTTTTTAATGTCTCTCTTATCGTTCTGTCCAATCCAGTTCCCTCTCTGAGATTAGGACTTGGTTAAATTTACTCTCCTTTTACCTCTCCACATCCCTCTAGTCCTATTTGTCCCACATTTCTTCCTAAAGCTAATAATTTCTGGTTTGCCAAATCCTTTTTTGCTGTTTGTAGCCCATTAACCCATAGTTGTTTGATGTTGAATAGATTGTATCTGTTGAACTAGATTGTATCTGCAGCCATTTTGATTATGCAACTACAAGACTCTGGTTGATGCTTGCCTTAAAATAGTGTTCTGGTAAAAAATTGGTGTTTCTTTCATACCAAATGGGCAGAACAAGCCAAAAAGCACAAGAAAAAGGCAAGACCAGGTATCTGACGTCCCACTCATGGTAATCAGGTGACAAAATAGTTAATGAATAATCCAGAGGAGTTCGCAAAAAGCTGTACAAACACTATTGGTGAAAAATTAAAAATTGTCCATTACCATTACTAACTTGCTAACTGCTGATTCTGCTTCTGTAAACTTGCTTATGCTAGCATTGGCCCTTCCCTTCCCAGAAATGAGTTAAGAAGTTTCAGGGACCAGATGCCGGCCCCAGGACAAGGTCAGTGGTCGTAGATAAAAAACAGACAGTACGTGTTCCTCCGTTCCAATTTAGAAATTCCCCAGACAGGACCTTGAGATAACGACCACCTGGCAAGACCACAAGCTAAGCCAAATGTCAACCAATCATAGGCCTGTAACCATGTAAACCAACCTTAAACCAACCATGGTCCAGTCATTTTACAAAGAGTGTTACAAAATTTCCCGCGTGGCAAAGTGATTGTTGGTGTATATGGTGACCTTTAAATGGACCAATCATGGGATGCTTTGTGTTATGCGTTAATCTTGTGGTTTTTGCCTTTAAAAAAAGGCTTATAACCGCTGCTCCGGGCTCCCTGTCTGCTCGGGACAGAGAGTCCGTTTGCGCAAACGTCAAATAAACTCCTCTTGCTTATTGCATCTCCCGGCCTGGAGTCTGAGTTTTCTGGGGCGCCCTCCCGTTGACAAAAGTATCCTAGGGGACTAGGGTCTTTCACTGGTAAACATGGTGAATGAAATGATTGAAAACTTTCAAAGGACTCAGTATGAGCATGCTAGGGAGCGGGAGGAGTCAAACCAAAGATTAATACAGGAATCTTGTGAGCATTAGGAAGCTACTTAAAGATTTTTTTTTCTTTTTTTTTAGGCTTTTAATTTTTTGTGTGTGAAAATACTGTACAGTGGGATTACAATTACATGGGCAAGATAGTGAGTACATTTCTTATCAAGCATTGCAGCCTCCTTCTTTGTTTACCCTTCCCATCCCTTCCCATCCTCCTTCCCCCCCACCCAACCCTCCCCTCCAAGTTGTAAAGTTCGTTTTCGACATGACAACTTGTACTTCTCATTGTTGCAACAGGTCCTCCTGTATCCTTATTTAAACGATTTGTTTTTCCCCTTCCCTTCCACAAATTATACTGACATCAAATACAGTGAAAGCAGGGGTTATTCTGTGGGGGAGGGACATACAAAACAACAAAGAAATAATCTTATAATTGTGTTGGAAACAAATGCCTGAAAGAAACAAAAAACCTTTAAATACATATCTTAGGGTTCATTTTCCTAACATCACCTTATCTGACCTTTTCTGCTTGACTCATACATATACTAGATATTGCAAAAAAGGGAAACCATGGGACCTATGTTTCTTTGGGCTTGGCTTACTTAATATAATTTTTTCCAAGTCTTTCCATTTCCTAACAAATGGGGCAATGTAATTCTTTCTGATGGAGGCATAGAATTCCATTGTGTAAATATACCACATTTTCTTGATCCATTCATCTACTGAGGGGCATCTGGGTTGGTTCCAGATCTTAGCTATGGTAAATAATGCTGCAATAAACATAGTTGTGCTGGTAGCTTTAGTGTTGTCTTGTTTGTAAACTTTTGGGTAAATGCTCAAAAGTGGAATTGCTGGGTAATAAGGGAGCTCTATGTGGAGTCTTTTGAGTAACCTCCATACTGCTTTCCAAAGTGCTTGAACAAGTTTACACTCCCACCAACAATGAACTAAGGTTCCCTTCTGTCCACATCCCCTCCAGCATTTCTTGTTATTAGAGTTCTTGATTTTTGCCATTCTAACTAGGGTGAGGTGGTATCTCAATGTTGTTTTGATTTGCATTTCTTTTATGGCTAGGGAGGTTGAGCATTTCTTCATGTGTCTATTGGCCATCTTTCTTTCTTCCTCAGAGAAGTTTCTCTTTAAGTCATTATCCCACTTATTTATTGGGCAGTTGTTTCTTTCAGGATTTTTTGTTGGGGGATTTAATTTAGGAAGCTACTTAAAGATTAATGCAGGAATTGCATAAGCATGTTGAGAAGAGTAAAAGAGAAATACAGGAAATGTGTGAGCAGGCTGAGCACAGTCTAGAGATTTACAGGAATTGCGTGAACGTGACGAAGCTAATCAAAGAGTAATACAGGGATTGAGAGAGTGGGATGAGAATAAAAAAAGATCAATAGAGGCATTCATGGAATCCATAAATAGCTGAAACAATTCAGGTAGACCACAAATGGAATGCTGAATGGAGCCAGACAGAAAGAATGGGTGTCCAGGGAAACCATAACAGTTGAGAATAAACACTGTACATCAAATTAAGGAAGTAAAGGTCATACAAAATCTAAAACAAAGCTCCACCAAAGAATTTGAAGCCATCCAAGCCGACCAATTAGAAGGAAAAGAAATAAAAAACAAAGCAGAAAATCTTGACAGTAGGTTAAGCCATGCAGAAGATTGAATCTTGGGGATTGCAGAGAGCCTAGATATTATAGAGAAGAACATACAAATATCCAAGACAAATCCAAGAAATATGATAGATCTATTCAACACTTGGAAGACACCATCAGAAATCATAATCTGAGGATAATGGGTGTAGAGGAGCACCTAGAGAAAGAAGTTAATGGTCTAGGAAATTTATTTAACAGAATCCTAGCAGATAACTTCCCAAACATGCAAAAAGATAGGCCTATTCAGATATAAGAAGCTTATAGAACCCCACATCCACCAGACCAGAGCAGGATATCCCACCAGTCACATTATAATCTGCACAGGATCAATTCAGACCAAGGAAAGGATCCTTAAATTTCTCAAGGAGAAAAGAACTATCACCTATAAACACAAACCAATTAGAATCACCCCAGATTTCTCAGCAGAGAAGATTAAAGCAAGAAGAGCCTGGAATGGGAAATGCCATGCAGTAAAGACAATCAATTATCACTCAAGAATACCGAACCCAGCTAAACTCTCCTTCATAACCGAAGGTCAAATAAAAACTGTCCACAGCAAAGAAAAATTAAAAGAGTATATCTCCACCAATCAAGCCCTACAAAAGACATTAAAGTTATCCTACACATAGAAAACCATCAAGAACACAAAAGAGCCAAGAAAGCATCCAAGGGAATAAAATTAGAACTCAACATCAAAAGCCAACAAAGAAAGTCCTGTACAACATGGAGGCAGAACAACTGTTGAATCACCAGTGGGTCATGGAAGAGATTAGAAAGGAAATGCAAATGTTCGTGATATTCAAAAATAATGAACACACAAATTACTAGCTTTTCTGGGACACAGCAAAGGCAGTACTCAGAGGCAAGTTTATAGCTCTGAGGTCCTACAACAACAAATTAGAGAGATCTGAAACCAAGAATTTAATAAGACATCTGAACCTCCTTGAAAAAGAGCAGCAAGATAAACTCCAATCAAGTAGATGGAAAGAAATAATTAAAATTACATCAGAATTAAATGAATTAGAACCCAAAAACACCATAAAAAATCAACAAAACAAAAGTTGGTTCTTCGAAAAAAATAACAAAATTGTCATTCTCTTAGCAAATCTTTTCAAAAAGAAGAGGACATATCAAATAAACAAACTCAGAGATGAGAATGGGAATGAGAAGCAACCAAGATTCAGAACATGATAATTGAATACTTCTCAAACATTTATGCTAATAAGGTTAAGAACCTGGCAGAAATGGACCTTTTCCTAGCCGTTTCCATGCCTTGAGTTTCCATGCCTAAACTCAACCAAGATGAGTTAAATCAACTTAACATGCCCGTATCAAGCATAGCAATAGAAACAGCAAGAAGAGACCTCCCATCTAAGAAAAGCCCAGGATCAGATGGATTTACAGCAGAAATTTACAAGGCCCTCAAAGCTGAACTCACACCAATACTCCTCCAACTCTGCAATGAAATTGAAAGGGAAAGTTTACTACCAAATTCATTCTATGAAGCCATCATAACCCTCCTCCCAAAAGCAAGCGGGGACTCATCAAAGAAAGAATTATAGAACCATTTCTTTGATGAACATTGATGAAAAACTTCTCAACAAAATTTTGGCCAATCTCCTTTGACAATTCCTCCAAAAAATCATACAGGATTTATTTCCGGGATGCAAATCTGGTTCAATATTTACAAATCAATTAATATAATTCGTCACATCAAAAAGGGCAAGAATAAGAACATGGTTATCTCAATAGATGCAGAAAAAGCCTTTGACAAGATCCAACACCCCTTTATGATGAAGGCTCTGGAAAACCTATGAATCCAGGGAACATCCCTCAATACAATAAAGCCTGTATATGACAAACCTACAGACATCATTATACTTAATGGTGGAAAAATAATGCCATTTCCTCTTAACTCAGGAACAAGACAAGGATGTCCAATCTCTTCACTTCTCTTCAATTTAGTATTAGAATGCATAGCTACAGCAATAAGACAGGATGCAAACATAAAAGGGATCCAAATACTCTCCAGATTATTTTAAAAATGCATATAGACAACTTGCCTGATTTTTAAATGAACTTAAAAGGCCCTTTAACCTATGCAGGTTACCCCATACGCATATAGAAAATGCTAGTGTGTTTTGCTCACTTCATATATAACAGGTGCCCTTATGTTGTGCTGTATCCTGTGCTTTTTCTGTGGGACCATTCCATTCAGGAACAAAGAGCACCATGATTCCACTCTTGTGTGTATTTACTAACCCTTCCCTGAGGTTTGTGTATGTTGGATATTGTGGTGTTTTAGAGTGTACAGAAGAGAGAATTCAAACAAAATATTGCTGTTCTTCAGTTTTGTGGAATTTGAAATTCTCCAATTTAAAATAAATTACTGGACTGTGGAAAAAAAAAAAGGGGATCCAAATAGGGAAAGATGATATAAAACTCTCCCTATTTGCAGATGACATGATGTTGTATTTAAATAATCCACCCATTCAACTCTCAAATTATTCATGCTGATTTAAAACGTTGGCAAAGTAGCAGGGGAAAAATTAACTCTCAAAAATCAATGGCTTTTCTGTATGCCAACAATGAGAAAAGCATGGCTGAAATCAGGAAATCAACACCATTTTCATTATAGCCCCACCAAAAATAAAATACCTAGGAATTAATCAAAGAAGTGAAGGATATTTATGATGAAAACTTTAAAAGCCTGAAAAAGGAAATCAAAACGGAACTTACAAAGTGGAAAAACTTCCCATGCTCGTGGATTGGAAGAATCATCGTGAAAATGACAATAATTCCCTAGGCTATCTAAAAATTCAATGCAATACTTATCAATATTACAAACTCATTCCTCAAGAAAATAGAAGAGTCAATCTAAAAATTCATATGGAAAAATAAAAGACCCCGGATAGCAAAAATGATCCTTAACAGAAAGAACAGTGCTGCAGGAATATCAATTCCAAATTTCAAGCTCTACTACAAAGCCATAGTAATCAAAACAGCTAGGTATTGGAACAAGAACAGATCTCAGGTCTAATGGAATAGAATTGAAAAGCCAGCAATGAACCAACAGACTTATAGCCACCTAATCTTCCATAAGGTAGCTAAAATAAATAGAATGGAAGAAAGACAGCCTCTTCAGTATATGGGGCTGACAAAATTGGTAAATCACTTGTAGAAAACTAAAGCTAAACCCATATATATCACACTGCACAAAAATCAACTCCAAATGGATGAAAGACCTCATAGTCAAAGACACCCTGAAAACATTGCAGGACAAACTAGGAGATAACATATGTCTCCTTGGCACAGGCCAAAATTTTCTTAATAGATACCAGGAACACAACAAATCAAAGAAAGGTTGGACAAATGTAATTGCATAAAATTGCAGAGCTTCTGCATGGCAAAGGACAAAACTAGCAAGATCAATAGAAAGCCCATGGATTGGAAGAAGATCTTCACTAGCCATACAACAGACATGGGTCTCATATCTAAAATATACCTAGAACTCAAAAAATTAAATCCCTCAACAACAAATCCTCAAAGAAACAACTGCCCAATAAATAAGTGGGCTAAAGACTGAAAAGAAACCTCTCTGAAGAGCAAAGAAGGATGGCCAATAGACAAATGAAGAAATGCTCAACCTCCCTAGCAATAAAAGAAATGCAAATCTAAACTACACTGAAATACCACCTTACCCCAGTTAGAATGGCTATAATTTCGAACAGTAATATAACAGAAACTGGACGGGATGTTGGTGGGACTGTAATCTTGTATAACCACGTTGGAAAGTAGTGTGGAGCTTCCTCAAAAGACTCCACATAGAGTTCCCCTATGACACAGCAATCCCACTTTTGAGCTTTTATCCAAATGATCACAAAAAGAACCATACTAAATCTACCAGCATAACTAAGTTTATTGCAGCATTATTTACCATAGCTCAGATATGGAACCAACCCAGATGCCCCTCAGTAGATGAATGGATCAAGAAAATATGGTATATATACACAAAGGAATTCTATGCCTTCATCAGAAAAAATGGCATTGCACCGTTTGTTAGGAAATGGAAAACCATGGAAAAAATTGTATTAAGTGAAGTAATCCATGCCCAAAGTAACATAGGTTCCATGGTTTCCTTTATTTGCAATAACTGGTATATGTCGGAGATAAACACAATCTGTCTGACAAGTTGATGTTAGGTGAAATGAACACCAACATAAGGACTCAAATGGTTTTTCTTTCTTGCTATTGTTTCTAGCATATTTACAAGATGATTTCTTTGTTGCTTTGTCTGCCCCTCCCCCAAGGTTTAACCTCTATTTTCACTGTATTTGATGTTGGCATAATTTGGGAGGGGAATAGAAAAACAAATTGGGATACAGGTGGACCCACTGCAACAATGACAAGTACAATACTATATGTCGGAAATCGAAATTTACAACTTTGGCGGGGGGGGGCGATTTGCGGGGGGCATAAAGGGAGATTGGATGGGATGGAAAGAGGAAACATGGGAGGAGGCAATAAGGCTTGATAAGAAATGTGCTCATTACTTTCTTCATGTAATTTTAAACCCTCTGTTTATTCACATTAAAAAATCATGAAATAATAAAGTAAAAATCCATGCCAATTATTTTGTCTGTCGTGGTGCTTGAATGCTGGGCCTGGGCACTGTCCCCCAGCTCTTCAGCTCAGAGATAGCACTGTACCACTTGAGCCACAGTGCGGTTTCTAGTTTTCAAGAGATATATTGGAGATAAAAGTCTCACAGATTTTTCTGCCCAGTCTGGCTTTGAACCACTATCCTCAGATCTCAGAGTTTTGGGTAGCTAGGATTACAGGCATGAGCCACCAAAGCCCAGATTCAAGACAATTTTTAAAAAGAAAACTTATGGAAACTTCTGGCTTTTTCTAATAAACAATATTATATTTTCAGCATTAGTTTACAACTATAAGTTATTTTTAGATGTAACTTGGGATTTTTAATAGAATCAAATATAAGTTTAATTATTACTCAGTAACTCACAAAAATCCACTGTAATTTACTTTCCCCAAAGTCAATTGTTACATACTCTATTACTCATTATTATTATTACACTCTATATTACATATAATGTGAAGTGAAAATAATTTATACCATTTCGTATAAATTAGTAGTTGCTACTTTAGCATTATAAATTCACATCTGTGATTTTAAATGAAGCAAAGAAGATTTTCGAGTTAAAATGAAATATGAATGTGTAATGTGTCCCAATTAAACCAAAAATTCTGAGTTTATACAGACAAAAATACTTTCTTTCCACTAAAGACTTTGAAGTAATACCATTGGAAATAGTGATGCTAGAAGAGGAAGAATTAAAATCACGACAAACAATGTCTGTTATTCTGCTATCCCCTCCACTATGAAGACCTGCCCATTCCCAGATGTCACAAAATTTCAAGTGTCTCTCTTAAAATTCTATTTGGAAAAGTTCTAAATCACTGATTGTTTTTGCAATTTCTGTTATATGAAACAAATCATTGACAGAAAACAATTGAAATAAAATGCACACATATGTTGAAGTCACTACAACTGGAAAAACAACCAACAACGTAGAACCCCCCAGGAACAAAAACATGTTTTGCCCATTTTTTAAGCACAAAGACCTCAAATACATATTAACTTGGAGTAGAGCCATAAAGATAACTGTGTCTCATAATACAGTTGTGTTAATTTGTAATTAAATTCTTCTAGATGAACCTAATATTGCAAATCACTTGAATGGATCAAATTGTTTAAAATGAATGTGACTGTATGCGTAGTGAGATCTGCACATATTTAAAAGAATAAAATAACAGAATCATAACGTTCGTAAAAAATTCGGAAATGTAATGGATATGTCCAATAGCATCCATACTGAGAACTAATGCCTACTGGTATAACAAGAAAAAATATGCAAATAATAGAATCTGAGCAGTGTACATGAGTGTCCATAATTTTAAACTAATCCAAATTACACTTTGTAGAAGACTGAATGTGGCTTATCTAAGGGAAAACATCAACACATGATATAAATGAAATTAAAAATCTCATGAAAAGAGAGAAGGAGTTTCTGGAAAATAATAATTTAACAAATGATGGTCAAAATATTTCTAGTACTGTCAAAATTGCATACCTATTTATATAGATCCAAAAAGGAACCAAGTTTTTCGAGCTGATTTGAAACTTTGGCAAAGTAGCAGGATACATCTGTAACATTATTATGGATGTTTACTCTGGCATGGAATTCATTTCCTCTTTGATCTGACAAATGAATATATGAAAGAACATAAATTCTCTAACTAAATATCAAGACCTAACTAAACATATCACCAGAAAAGTCACCATGTAAGCCGTATTGCAACTGGGGTAAAAGAAAAATCCATCATAGTGATTCTGTATTTATTGTATATGTTGATGTTTTTCATAAATTATTTCCTTTAGTTTGCATTTTCAAAACATTGTGTTACATGATGTATATCTTGGTAACTAATTTTGGATGCCTCCTTAAATTTTGTTCTGAGTAAAATGTCTCACTTCAGTTCCTAACCCATGAAATTATGTTGATTCCAAAAACATTCTAATAACCACTGTATATAATACACAAAATCTCATAAGCATGACACCAGTAAGCACTGGTTATCATTTTGATATCAGGGTCCCATGACTTATAAGGCCTATCTGCATGAGTATCGTTGTACCAAGACTCCTCAGCCTAAATTTAGCCACTGTTAAAAATGTTTATATCTTTATTTGTCACCCATCAGAGATTAAATGTGAGTATAAAGCCTAAGGAAAATGATAAAGTAAGAATTTAGCTTTTCTGGATACAAAGTAAACAAAATGCAGCATAGAGTAACTCACTGGTTTAAAGTCAACCTATTTCACCAAAACATTCTAAGCATTACCTTACAATGTGTATTATTCTCATGAAGGGAATGCGGAATTTGAGGACAAACCAAGCATTGTCTTCAAATATATATAATTTGGGTTTATCTCTATATTTCGCTATAAACATTTCTGATAAAAACTGAATAATTGATTTTTTGGTCAGATATAATATATCCTACTTTCATATACCAAACTACATTCAGAAAATGCAATACAACAATTAACTTAAAAAAGTTCTGGCAGAAAAAATGGCATCTCTTTATTATGTGATGCTCAATTCTTAGGTATTATGTCTCCAGTTAATGAATGTGATTGTTTAAATGCTTCATAAAGTTTTAATTAAAATCCATCAGTGTACTATAATATAATTGTGGATAATTTTATCCTAGAATCATTCATGAACTG